TAGTGAGGTCTGTTGGAACTAGGAAAATGGGTTTATATATCTGTGGAATGACCAGGGTGAGACAAAGGACTCTTGTCTGCTGGAGCTAGGTGTGACTGTTTCAACTGACCACCTTGATTAGCATATAATGGCCTGACAGTGCCTGGAGCAAACTTTTGTTGAGAGGTGATTAGATGTCCTTGTTTGTTTCCTCTCTGTTGTTGTGCTGTTGTAATTTTAGAGTTTTTTTAAATACTGGTAGCCAGATTTTGTTCATTTTCATGGTTTCCTCCTTTCTGTTGAAATTGCCACAACAACAGAGAGGAAACAAACAAGGACATCTAATCACCTCTCAACAAAAGTTTGCTCCAGGCACTGTCTGGCCATTATATGCTAATCAAGGTAGTCAGTTGAAACATTCACACCTAGAATATTCATTTTAATTACTGCTATTCTAGCCAGCAGGGAAATGTAACTTTTCCAAACTTTGCCTGATGCATAAATATGACAGCATAAATATGACAGCTCTCTGCAATCCTAGCGAAAAGTTGCTGGGCTTTAGCACAGTGGGTTAAACTGCCAGCTGGAGAAAATATTTCCGATTGAAAGGTCAACAGTTCATGCCCAGTTTGGGGTGACCTTCCAACCATCAGCCCAGCTTCTGCCCACCTAGCAGTTCGAAAACAGCAATGTGAGTAGATAAATAGGTACCGCTTTGGTGGGGTAGTAAAAGGTGCCCATATGGACATGCCAGTGATTCGATCGAGAGAGTGTGAAAGGCAACAAAAATGGAGCAACAGCACACCGCCCCCCATGGCCAGAGTCAAACACAGCCTCCAGATGCCAGAGATGGAAAAAGATGGGAAGCCTTTGCCTCTGTTTATGTATTGTCTGTCTTATTAATAGTATAATGGCATTGAATATATGCCATATACATGTACTGTAATCCTCCCTGAGTCCCTTTGGGGAGATAGGGCAGAATATGAATTATTATTATTATTATTATTATTATTATTATTATTATTATTCCATTTTTCAAAATGTAAAGACAGCAACAATTCAAATATTTAATTTCTCTCTATAAAGGTGAGTATATGTATGTATATATATATTTATTTTATTTATTATTCGAACTTATATGCCGCCACTCCCCTGGGGCTTGGAGCGGCTTACAAGAACAGGCTAAAATCGAGCAACAATTTAAAAACAATTCAAAACAATTTAAAAACGGCAATATCAAAAATCAAAGGCCTGTCGAAACAGGTATGTCTTACAGGCCCTGTGGAAAGCTGATAGGTCCCACAAGGCACGGACTTCAGGTGGCAGAGTATTCCAGAGTGATGGTGCCACTGCTGTAAAGGCTCTGCGTTTGGTTGCTGTTAGACACAAGGTATTGACACTGGGAATTTCCAACACATCTTGGTCTTCAGAATGGAGGGATCTGTGGGGTTGGTAGGGGGTGAGGCGGTCCTTCAGGTACATCACCCAGACCATGCAAGGCCTTAAAGGTGAGTACCATCACTTTGAAAGTGATCCGGTGCTCAATTGGTAACCAATGCAGCTGCAGTAAGATGGTGTTATGTGGCATCTCATCAGAATTCCCGCAAGAAGCCGAGCAGCTGCATTTTGTACCAACTTGAGCTTCTGGATCACCGACAGAGGAAGGCCAATGTAGAGGGTTACAGTAGTCCAGTCTTGAGATGACCGTAGCCTGGATCACCGTAGCTAGGTCGCCCCTGGACAGGGAGGGGGCCAGCCGTCTAGCCTGCCGCAGATGAAAGAAGGTGGTTCTGCTAACGGTGGAGACCTGGGCCTCCATCGTCAGCAGAGGGTCCAAAAGGACTCCCAGATTCTTTACCAATGATGACGGGCGTAGCGCCTCACCATCCAGGGTAGGCAGCTGGATATCCCCACTGCCTGGTCAACCCATCCATAGGATCTCCATCTTTGCTGGATTCACCTTCAACCTGCTGGCACGCAGCCATCCAGTAACGGCCTCGAGGCACTGATGGAAACAATTGGGTACAGAGTCTGGTCAGCCTTCCATCTTCAGCACCAGCTGAGTGTCATCGGCATACTGATAACACTCAAGCCCAAATCCTCGAACCAGCTGAGCAAGTGGTTGCATATAGATGTTAAACAACAGAGGGGAGAGAATGGCCCCCTGAGGAACCCCACAAGATAGAGGGGACCTCTCAGAGACCAGGCCTCCCCTCTCCACTCACTGTCCACGGTTGTGAAGAAAGGAGGACAGCCAATTTAAAGCTGTCCCCCTGACTCCAACAGCAGCAAGGCGGTGGGTCAAAAGATTGTGGTCGACTGTGTCAAATGCTGCTGTGAGATCCAATAACACAAGCAGCGCTGACCCGCCCTGGTCAAGCTGGCATCGAAGGTGATCCGTGATGGAGACCAGCACAGTCTCTGTCCCGTGCCCCGCACGGAAGCCGGATTGGAAGGGATCTATTCCGGCTGTGTCGTCTAGGAATTGCTGCAACTGCTCCGCTGCTGCCCTCTCAATCACCTTGCCCAGGAACGAGAGATTCGAAACTGGGCGGTAACTGGAGGGAACCGAAGAATCTAAGTCTGGTTTCTTCAGCAGGGGAGAGACCACCGCCTCTTTTAAACCCTCTGGAAAGACTCCTATATGGCTTGATAGGTCTGCACCAAACTTGGTACACATATCCTTCATTATCCAACTTAAGGACTGGTTGGGGTTGAAGTACAACCGTCTACCCCTTTGGGGTAGGTCCCCAGAAATGAATACATATGCCTGCTTGTATGCAGTACTCAAATGCAACCACAAGAGGGTGTCTACAGATAGAAAGGCTACTCCAGAAAAAGATGAAACATGGAAAAGAACTAGAATATAATAAAGGAGATGCTCTAGGAGGGCCAGAATGTTGCCATGGAGATGTTCATTGGGTGGCCTTCTCATTGGGTCAGGCAAGGATAGAAGCGACCGGGAGATGGGAGAAAGGAGTCCTTAAGATGACTAAACATTAGTAATAATTCTGTTCTTAGCAGAATCTTATATTCAGAGCAGTACATCTTTGATGCATGGAGAAAAGAATTAACCTGAGTTCATTTGTGCTGAGAAGCTTTACGATTTTATGAAGGATCCCATTAGAAAATGCATACCCAGGCATAAAAGAGCTTATAAAATCAATTTATAATAAAAAAATATCAATGCCTATGATAAAATTCATAATTTAAAACTTATCAGGATAGACCTGCTAGAAAAAAAGTTGGTCTTTGCTGCTGTTTGAACTTGGAAAAGTTTCTAAGTAGATCATGAAACTACAAATCCAAGAATCATTAGGATGGAGAAATATGGTTATGGTGTTATTGGATTCCTATAATGATATATTTTTGATCGACTCTCAGTGTGAAGTTAGGACTGGGAAGTGCCCTAACAAAGAAAACAATAAAGAAACATAGTGTTGTAGATCAACCAGAGGCTGATGGTTTAACTGATAGTTTAGAGAGGATTGTGAGCTTTCCTATGGAACAAAGTGATGGACTTTCAAGTCTGGGAAATATGGTTTTCTCTGTGAGAAAACTGTCTCAGAAAGTGCAGGGTCTCAAGGGCATTTGGGGGAGTCAGAAGTCGCAACAGCAAATAAGGAATTGAGTGAAGAACTGAGTGATAAAGAGGGTTCCCATGAGAAGCCACCTGTAGCTGTGGAGGTCAACAAAAGCTTTTCTTTACAAATCAGAGACAAAATAGATTGTGTCATTCAGAGAGATTACATTGGGAAAGTTGTGAAGGAAATTCACATGAAATGGAATGATTTCATGGGTGTCTATTACACAACACATTGTTTACTTTAAAGTTAGTGGGACTCTTTTCACAACTTCAGTCCTTTTTCAGGTGTCTTTTATTGTGTGACGATATGGGGAAAAATATTTTCTTTTTACTGCCTTGTACAGATGTATTTTCCCCTATTTAAATTAGCTGGGGCTTTCTTGTGAGCTTTTTCCTTGAGGCTTTTATATTACAGGCTTGAGACACTCTTGTAGTAAACCAAGTAACAAAGTTTATTTGTAGCTTCTGGCTCCAACGCTTATGGTTACATTTGTATTTTCTGTTAACAGTCTTGAGTCTTACATTCAATATCACATTGCAACATAGAGCTATGCATCAAAAATTTATCATAGATCAACAAATTCGCTACAGTCAGTTCTGCATCTTAAAGAGAGAAGCTAAGCCTAAGTTTTCTTGTTCCTAGTTCAAGTCAAGCTTTGGTTTTGGATTTAATATATCCTGGAAGTTTTCTATGTTCTTGTTCATGTACTCCTATTCAAGTTTTAGTAGTTAGATCTTCTGGATTGTGGACTTAAGCTGTATCTGTGATTTCTGGCTATTCCTGGACTTTGTCACCTCTGGAACTTTATGAGTCATTTGGATTATTGTCTGGTTATCACCTTTTGCTAAACCTTTTTGGCATATATATCTTCCTTTCTTATTCCTTATTTTTATATGCTTTTACAATAAACTGTTTGCTTATATTCCTGGACTCTTGTGTGGTGCGGCGGTCATAGGTGTTTCCAGGTCTGGAGTGCAACAGTGTGACCTGTGAAGTGTCCTAACAAAGAAAACAATAAAGAAACAATCATACATGGTAGCTGAAGCCTTCATAGTGGTGAATATGCTCTGGGCTTTAGTCTGAAAGAGCTATCCAAGGTGCTGAACGGTGACCTCCAAATAACGTCAGTACCAAGGACAGCTCCCTTAAAGTTTAGATTACAACCTTAACTTCCTTCTTATGTGGCAAATATGTTTGTTTAGAGACGAAAGAAACAAACGTACATGGTAGCTGAAGCCTCCATAGTGGTGAATGAGCTGTGGGCTTTAGTCTGAAAGAGCTATCCAAGGTGCTGAATGGTGACCTCCAAATAATGTCAGTACCAAGGACAGCTCCCTTAAAGTTTAGATTATAACCTTATGTGGCAAATATGTTTGTTTAGAGCCTGATTAAAGCCTTTGTCGTTCACTCAGTCTCTTTCTCTCCATTTTCTAGACCAATGACGCCGCAGGGAATATGTGGAATTGGCTTTACTTCATCCCACTCATCATCATTGGCTCCTTCTTCATGCTCAACCTGGTTCTTGGCGTCTTGTCAGGGTAAGAACTCCTGTTTACTCTCCTAGGGTTGGGGTTTGGTAAATTAAACATAATATAACATAAGGAATCAAACTAATTAAAACACAATACAGTAAAAGCATAATATAGTATATCACATCGGTGGGCTGAGGTGGGTGTTCGTTGTCAAAGTGAGGGTGTGTGTAAGGGATGCTAATCCTTCTCCTTTCCATATGCTAGATTGCACAGATGGGTCTTTAGAAGCTTTTTAAAGGAGAGGAGAGAGGAGGCCATTTTTAGTTCTTTAGGGAGGGAGTTTCAGAGGCGGGGAGCGGCCACAGAGAAGGCCCCATCCTCTCATTCTCACCAACCATGCTTGAGATGGAAGCACTGCCATTGTACTGTGGAGTCCCGCAGGGTTCAGTACTGTCCCCTATGTTGTTTAACATATACATGAAGCTGTTAGGAGAGATCATCCGGAGTTTCGGGGTGCGATGTCATCTGTACGCAGATGATGTCCAGCTCTGTTACTCCTTCCCACCTGCTACTAAGGAGGCTGTTCAAGTCCTGAACCGGTGCTTGGCCGCTGTAACGGACTGGATGAGGGACAACAGATTGAAACTAAATCCAGACAAGACAGAGGTACTCCTGGTCAGTCGAAAGGCCGAACAGGGCATAGGGTTACAGCCTGTGCTCGACGGGGTTACACTCCCCCTGAAGGCGCAGGTTCGCAGCTTGGGAGTTCTCCTGGATTCATCGCTGAGCCTGGAGCCCCAGGTTTCGGTGGTGGTCAGGGGAGCTTTTGCACAATTAAAACTTGTGTGCCAGCTGCGCCTGTACCTTGGGAAGTCTGACTTGGCCACGGTGGTCCACGCTCTGGTTACATCCCTGTTAGACTACTGATCCCGTATAGACTACTGCAACGCTCTCTATGTGGGGTTGCCTCTGAAGACTGCCCGGAAGCTGCAATTAGTCCAACGAACGGCAGCCAGACTACTAACAGGAGCGGGGTACAGGGAGCATACTACTCCTCTGTTGCGCCAGCTCCACTGGCTGCCAATTAGCTTCCGAGCACAATTCAAAGTGCTGGTGTTAACCTATAAAGCCCTAAACGACTCCGGCCCAGTTTACCTGTCCGAACGTATTCTCCCCTATGAACCATCAAGATTGTTAAGATCGTCTGGAGGGGCCCTGCTCTCGGTCCCACCAGCCTCACAAGTGCATCTGGTGGGGACGAGGGACAGGGCCTTCTCGGTGGTGGCCCCTCGGCTCTGGAACTCTCTTCCACTGGAGATCAGAACTGCCCCTTCTATCCTGACATTTAGAAAACAGGTGAAAACTTGGCTCTGGAAACTGGCATTTGACGAGTGAGTCAATATCCTGGATATGCATGGATGATGATGAACAACGATTTTATTGTGACGACTGACCATTGTAATTATATGACTGTATTTTGTTATTTTAATGTTTTAGTGTAATATGGAATATGATGTTTTTAATGATTGTTTGTGATATTGTTGTTGGAAGCTGGCCTGAGTCCCTCGATGGAGGTGAGAAGACCGGTATACAAAATTTCTAAATAAATAAATAAATAAATGGAAGTGGGACCGAGAGCAGAGCCTCCTCCGCAGACTACAATGCTCATGCTGGCTTGTAAGCAGAGATGCAATTTTTCAAATAGTCTGGGCCTGAAATAACAACAACAACAATAACTGGAAAAGCTTACATGGTACAAGGATTTGCAGATAGAACCTCAAAGACTCTGGCACAAGCCAGTCAAGGTGGTCCCAGGGGTGATCGGCACACTGGGTGCAGTGCCTAAAGACCTTGGCCTGCACTTCAAAAACAATCAGTACTGACAAAATTACCATCTGTTACCTGTAAAAGGCCACCCTACTCAAATCTACATGCATTATTCATAGGGCTTGTTCTCCAGACCCTTTATCATTTTAGTCACCCTCCTCTGGACACATTCCAGCTTGTCAATATCTCTCTTGAATTGTGGTGCCCAGAATTGGACAATATTCCAGGTGTGGTCTAAAAACTCAAGTTGTGTTAGGCTTTCAAGTCCATAGGTAGCACTTTGAATTCCGCCCAGTAACAGATGGGCAGACTTTCCTTTGTCCTCAGCCCTGGCCATATTGCTTGCCTTGTCATTCCCAAAGCTACTTAGCAAAAGGAATATGGATGCGGCAGGGTAAAATCCATTGCCCAGACTACAATTGAACAGCTGGGAAATGGCAAGGCAGCTGCACATCAGATGGGCCCCAGGAGGAAACTAGATGTTTGGGAGGATTTGCTGTGCTCAGGGAAGGGCAGGCGACGAGTGCGGAAACCTGAGAATAAATACTATCCCCCTGAGTGAGGATCTGCTTTGCGAAAACACCACGTTTTTCAAGCTTAGACTGAAGCGAAGCATAGAGAACGTTAATTTAGCCTGATTCTCCCAAGGGGGGGAGGGGACGGTGAGCTTGAAGGGGACGTTGCAAATATTCACACTCATCTGCATGGGACAGCTTGGTGCCGTTCGGAGGCAGGAGACTGAGTGCCAAAACCGTTTAGCAATCCATCCCTTGCTTCAGAAAGCCAAGCTCATTTTTGGAGAATCAAACTGTCATGTTTCAACCTTAAGGAAATGACAGCATATATAATAAGGAGAATGGATTCAGGAAGGGACAACGTTGAGCTACTTAAGGGAACAGATAGTGTCGCCTGACCTAGACCTCTGCTCTCGGAAAGGCATCATAGCTTTGGTTCAAAAGGTCCCAGGTATTTATTTATCGTGTCAGGGGCAACCAGACCATTGTATTACATTTCTAACAGAACAGATTAAAAAAAAACACGAAGTTTGCAAGCTTGGTAGTTGATTAAATGTCCTTTGACCAGTATCTGGCCACTTGGAGTGCCTCTGGTGTTGCCGCAAGGAGGTCCTCCATTGTGCATGTGGCAGGGCTCAGGTTGCATGCAGCAGGTGGTCAGTGGTTTGCTCTTCTCCACACTCGCATGTCGTGGATTTCAGTTTGTAGCCCAATTTCTTAAGGTTGGCTCTGCATCTTGTGGTGCCAGAGCGCCTTCCAAGTCGCCCAGTCTTCTGTGTGCCCAGGAGGGAGTTTCTCATTTGGTATCAGCCATTGGTTGAGGTTCTGGGTTTGAGCCTGCCACTTTTGGACTCTCGCTTGCTGAGGTGTTCCAGCGAGTGTCTCTGTAGATCTTAGAAAACTATTTCTTGATTTAAGTCGTTGGCGTGCTGGCGGATGCCCAAACAAGGGATGAGCTGGAGATGTCTCTGCCTTGGTCCTTTCACTATTGGCTGCTACTTCCCGGCGGATGTCAGGTGGTGCAATACCGGCTAAGCAGTGTAATTTCTCCAGTGGTGTAGGGCGCAGACACCCTGTGATAATGCGGCATGTCTCATTAAGAGCCACATCCACTGTTTTAGTGTGGTGAGATGTGTTCCACACTGGGCATGCATACTCAGCAGCAGAGTAGCATAGCGCAAGGGCAGATGTGTTCACTGTGTCTGGTTGTGATCCCCAGGTTGTGCCAGTCAGCTTTCGTATGATATTGTTTCTAGCACCCACTTTTTGCTTGATGTTCAGGCAGTGCTTCTTGTAGGTCAGAGCACGGTCCAGAGTGACTCCCAGGTATTTGGGTGCGCTGCAATGCTCCAGTGGGATTCCTTCCCAGGTATCCTCAGAGCTCGGGATGCTTGTCTGTTCTTAAGGTGAAAGGCACATGTCTGTGTTTTAGATGGGTTTAGGGATTAGCTGGTTTTCCCTGTAATAGGCAGTAAGAGCACCTAGAGCTTCGGAGAGCTTCTGTTCAACCATCTCAAAGCTCCCTGCTTGAGCGGTAATGGCACGATCATCAGCATAGATGAAACTCTCTGTCCCTTCTGGCAGTGGCTGGTCATTTGTGTAGATGTTGGACATGGATGGAGCAAGCACGCTCCCCTGAGGCAGGCCGTTCTTCTGTTTCCGCCATCTGCTTCTCTGGCCCTGGAACTCAACAAAAAAGCTCCTGTTTTGTAGCAGGTTTCCTATGAGGCGGGTGAGGTGGTAGTCCTTTGTGATATTATACATTTTTCTCAGGAGGAGGCGGTGGTTCACAGAATCATAGGCTGCTGACAGGTCTATGAAGACAGCTCCTGTGATCTGCTGCCTTTCAAAGCCATCTTCTATGTGCTGAGTCAGGTTCAACACTTGCGATGTGCAGCTTTTGCCTTTCCTGAAGCCAGCTTGCTGTGGATCAGACAGGGGTCTATTTTTTTTCCATAATTCTATGCAAAATAAGTCTCTCCAGAACTATGTAAAGATGGCATAACAGGGAGATTGAGGTCCCAGGTACATCTCTGGCACCATCTTTTGAAAGATCAGATGGATGTGATGGGAAATACAGAGGGACATGGAATCTGTCTGTTTGTTTTTGCTTCCATGTTCAATTTGTTTCTTTTTTAAAGAATCAGTTTCCTGAATGAATTGTGGGTTTTTTGGGTACAGTCTGAACTACCACAATTATCAACCCTCCAAACTGACCAAATCCAATAAGAACAAATGGGTACTGCCATATATATATATTTTTGTCGTGTCAGGAGCAAGTCGCTTCTGGTGTGAGAGAATTGGCCGTCTGCAAGGACGTTGCCCAGGGGACGCCTGGATGATTTGATGTTTTTATCATCCTTGTGGGAGGCTTCTCTCATGTCCCCGCATGAGGAGCTGGAGCTGATAGAGGGAGCTCATCCGCCTCTCCCCGGATTCGAACCTGTGACCTGTCGGTCTTCAGTCCTGCGGCACAGGGGTTTAACCCACTGCGCCACCGGGGGCTCTTGGCTTTTGGCTGATGAGATAGGATTGTTGTTGTTGTTGTTGTTGTTGCTGTGTACTTTCAAGTCATTTCAGACAGACACCAGAGCCCCCAGTAATAATATGATATTATAATTATATATTTATATTTATATAGAGCCAGCGTTGTCCACAAACACCTCCTAGGTCATGTGGCCAGCATGACTGCAAGGAGCGCCGTTACCTTCCCGCCGGAGCGGT